CATCCTAAATGGAGAGACTTTGAAAGCATTCCGCTTGAGAACAAGAACCAGACAAGGATGCCCTTTGTCACCACTGTTATTCGACATTGTGCTGGAGGTCCTAGCCAGAGCAATTAGGCTAGAAAAAGAAATAAAGGGCATCCAAATTGGTACCGAAGAAATCAAAGTATCTCTATTTGCAGATGATGTGATCTTATATACAGAAAACCCCAAAGAATCCACAAGAAAACTACTGGAACTAATAGAAGATTTCAGCAAAGTTTCAGGATGCAAGATAAGCATACAAACATCAGCTGGATTCCTTTACACCAACAAAGAGAACCTCCAAGAGGAAATCATCAAATCAATACCATTTACAATAGCCCACAAGAAGATAAAATACTTAGCAACAAATCTAACCAGAGATGTAAAAAAATCTGTACAATGAAAAGTACAAGACACTACTGCAAGAAACCAAAAGAGACTGCATAAGTGGAAAAACATACCTTGCTCATGGATAGGTGGACTCAACATGGTCAAAATGTCAACTCTGCCCCATGTGATCTACAGATACAATGCAATCCCGATCCATATGCCACTGGTATTTTTTAATGAGATGAAGAAACAAATCACCAACTTCATATGGAAAAGGAAGAGGCCCTGAATAAGTAAAGCATTACTCAAGAAGAAGAACAAACTGGGAGGCCTCACATTACCTGATTTGAGAACCTATTATACCACCATGGTAGTCAAAACAGCCTGGTACTGGTACAACAACAGATACATGGACCAATGGAACAGAATTGAGAATCCAGACATAAATTCATCCACCTATGAGCATCTGATATTTGACAAAGGCCAAAGTCCGTTAATTGGGGAAAAGACAGTCTCTTTGTAACAAACGGTGCTGGCATACCTCGATATCCATCTGCAAAAAACTGAAACAAGACCCATACTTTCCACCATGCACACAAACTAACTCAAAATGGATCAAAGACTTAAATATAAAATCGGAAACGATAAAGATCATGGAAGAAAAAATAGGGACAATGCTAGAAGCCCTAATACATGGCATAAACACAATACGAACCATAAGTAACAATGCACAAGCACCAGAAGAGAGACTAGATAAATGGGAGCCCCTAAGATTCAAACACTTAAATGCTCATCAAAAGACTTCCCCGAAAGAGTAAAAAGACAACCTACAGACTGGGAAAAAAATT